AGGGGGGGGGGGGGGGGCGGCTGAAGTGAGTGCAACAGGGAATTTGTTTACACCAGTGGTTGTTAACCTTTTTTGGAGGTGCTGTGCCCACGTTTCTCAAACCGAATGGACACAAACATACACACACACACACACACACACACACACACACACACACACACACATACACTCACACACACGTATTCGTTCGGTACACAGAATGTGTGTGTGTGTGTCTTGACCTCCGCTGTACCCCTGAGACTTGACTCGCTGAACCTGGGGATGGGGGTGGTGGGGGTTCAACCGACAAGCCAGGTTAAGAACGGCTGGCGTGGAGTGAGGTATGTCTGAGATGTGCGTGCATGGTCGTGTCCTTTATTCCGACGGGTGTGGACAGAGTCGCTGAGAGTGGGGGGAGGTCCCCAGATGATGACTGGATCTGTTGTGATAATAGATGACTTTGCTCTAACCATGTAACACACGTCCTCTACATTATTGCATCCACTTATTTGACGGGGAATTTTGTTTGTTCGATTTTTTTTTTCTGGATATTTATCCTGTTTTATCCATTTTTCTGTCTATGTCTTTGCTGTTTGATTAGACGGCGACGAGAGAAATGTCTTATTTTGCTTGACTGTATTTTCAGGGCTGAAAGTAAGAAATATCTTTGCTGGGGTGTGAAATAATCAGCTTACTTTGAAGGATGATTGTTGCGTGCTGAAGAATGTTCAGTTATAGCTTGGCTCTGAAGGTTTCTTTTTTTTCTATGGGTCTGCAGAAAAGCAAAAGATCTTGCTTTTTCCATGACAAAAAAAAAGGGTCTGCTTTGGCAATGCAAAGATCAGGTTGAAACCATGCCCTCTTAACACTTCTTTATTTATTCAAAAGATAGATATGGTGGTGAACAGGGGAAAAAATACTGATATTTTCGGCGAAGAAATGATAACAATTTGAAAAGTGACAACTTTTCATGGGTTCTCTCTTCGAAGAAATGTGTCCGGAGGTTTCGAGTTCTCCTGGACTGTGATGGGGGAGTGCGTTGGTGTGATGGGGGAGTGCGTTGGTTGTTCGGTATTGGCTGGGAACTGCCCGCCAGCACAAAAGTGTTTCTTGTGGAAAACATCGAGATGGGAGGGCCAAAGAAGACACATACATATTTTTGATTGGGGGTCCAGGTTTTTTTAGAAGGGACTGTAAAGGTTGTTGAACTGTTATATATTCTTGTGTCACAAAAGCAGAGATTTTGTTGTTGTTGTTCTTGTTTTCACCTGCCACCAGTTTCCTCCGTGGCCTCATCACCAACGCTCACGTCTGTCTCTGCTCCTCCATGTCGTGCCAACTCATGTGTGTGTGTCATGTTGGCATGTCGTGATGTCATTTCCACCTTTGATTTGTTTGTAAAGGCCGCAGATAATATGACAGTGGTCCCCTGTTGTTGAAGCGTTGAGATTTTGTCTTAATGCTCAAGTCATTTTTGCAACTCTGTACTTTTTCATGGAAAGGTTTCGCTCTTGACAGTGGCAGAAATAATCTTGCACTTGGATGGTGTGTGCTTCCCTCCCAGAAGTAATGTTTGGGAATAGAAAGAGAAGAACTGGGTGTAGGTTCATATCTGAAGGCTGTTGCCCAGGGCTGGAGAAGTTGTTACTCGACCACATGTTTTAGAAATGTTGAGATTTTCGGGTTGTTTTAAACTTTCTGGTTTCATGCCTTTTCAGATTTGATTTAATATGTTGTAAAACCTTTGTGAGGTTTTGGTAGCTGCATCATGTGGGTTACTGCACAAGAAGAAAAGGGCTTTTTTTTTGTGTCTGTTGCAAACAATCACTTGAGTCCAAATTTTTAATTTTTAAAAATTATTCCAGCCTCCCAAAGATGTATCAAAGATATATATATATATATATGGATGTGTCTTTCAACATCACCAAAATGCAGTTTGATGCTGCAGCTATGGTCAAGGCTTACCATTTTCTTTCTAGCTCTTCATGATTCCTAATACATTGTAGGAACAACACAGCAACATAGCTCTTCATGATTCCTAATAGGAACAACGTAACAACAACTTGTTGTTTTTTCCTCTCTGGTGTGCAGAGCACCTATACGGACTGACGTGGATTGCGTGTGACACAGACTATATTATGATATGTGTCGTATCTGTCTGAATGTGTGGGGGAACTGTCTTTGTGAAGCACAGCTAACATATGGTGAGCAGGTGGATTCTTCTGAGTGAAGTGTGGCTGTTGGGAACGGGGCTCGGTGTACGAGAATATCGTACTGTTGTGGCTTCCTCTCGTTGAGGTGTGGGTTTCTTTCCTACGTCCTACGTCCTGTTTCTTTTGTGATGATGTCGGGAGGGGGGGGGGAGATAGGTGCAGAGACATGAGAGAGGTAAACTAATACTTACAGAGTCGTGTGTTTAGTGCCAACACTACTCCTCCTACCTGTATTGTTGCCAGAGCTTGTTGGTTCATCATGATCACTAATTCCATTCTCGTCATGTTTCCCTTATTTATGTCATGTGTGAAGGTGGCAGGTTATGTCCATCTTTCCTTTCGTCCGTCGTCCTCACATGTTCCTCTGTTTCACTTTCCTCCGTCATTCCTCACATGTTCCTGGAATATGTAAAAGGTGAGAGCGACCTCCAAGTTTTGCAATGGGTTGTCTTACTCTTACAACTTACAACACTTCAGGTCAAACTGAGTTTGCTTTCAAATTTGGGTGTTGTCTTCAGAAAAACCCCCCAAAAAACCCACCCCAAATAACAAAAACAGCTAGGAGTGTTTGGGGGGAGGCACAAGGGGACCCAGTGTATAGACAGGGTATCCCTGTCTTTGTCGTGTCTTCATCTGTGTCTTCATCTGTGCGTGTCTTTGTGGACAGGTTTCTGTTGCTCTCTTTGTTTTATCATCTCTGTAGCAATTCCTTGAACTTTAACCTTTGTCATATGTTCATGCTTTGAAAAAAAAATTTTCTCTCAATAATTTTTTCCATAATTTGATGTTGAATGCATAAATGCATATATTATTTCTGGAGGGGTCTTCACCAGCTGTACAGACATGACTATATGAATAAATAAATACTTATAGCCTAACAGTGCAGGCCTGTGTTACTTGTGTTGTACCTCCAACTGTGGCTGGCTGCTCTGCTGGGATTTGCTCCAAACATATCGTTTATCAATTTAGGCCACGCATGGCCTCAATAAGGTGAACCCCCCCCCCCAACCGTGTTGCTTCGGCACGTCATTATTCAACTACAGTCAAACCTGTACTGTAAGATGGCCACACATTGTCGAGGAGAAACTCAGAAAAGTGGCCGTATAAAGACAGGTGGCATTCTAAGGCAGGACTGATCAAAATGAAGAAAAAAAACTACTACTTACTTCTGAGGTCCCAAGTGGAGGTGGTCGCAGGCTTAGGACTGCCCTCGGGCGGATTAAAATATGGTGTTGTTGTTTTCTTTTGAAAGGGGGGAGGGGAAGACGGTTTTTTTGTGGGACTTTTTGTTTCTTTTTCTTTTAAAATTAGAATTATGGTTTTATCCTAGAAAGGTTAAAACATAACGAAATGTGTCAGACAAGGAAGGCCAAGTGTCATACACGTAAGTAGTAAAACGAATGTATGATGTGTTGCGGTGAACGAACGACACTTCTGTCGCCAGTTTGTGTTGACTTCTTTTGTCATGGACTGGATTGTGGGCAATGCTGAAACGATCATGTTGCTTAGGTCACTCAGGATGAGCCTGAACATACTGGGGAACATTGGGGGGGGGGGGGGGGTGAGTTACACAGTACTGAGAAATATTGGGGCTGCAGCTAGAAAGTATTGGGGATGGATATACAAAATATTGGAGATAAGCTAGAAAATACAGGGGAACACTGAGAATGATCTAGAAAATAAATACTGAGGATAAGCTAGAAATTATTTTAGGATGAGTTAGAAAATAATAGGAATGAGGCAGAAAATATTAGGGATGAGCTAGAAAATACTGGGGATCAGTTAGAAAATATAAGAGACGAGCTAAAAAATATCAGGAGGGAGTAGTTGCCTACCATAGTTGCTCGAACATATTGGGGATGCGATATGATTAATATGAATTGAAAGTCTGGAAATGAGCTGGAAAATATTGGGGATTTTGGGCGGCAAAATATTGGGGGTGTGATAAACAAAATATTGGGGATCTAAAATATTGGGAATGGGACAAAAATGTTGTGGATAAGATACACAAGTCTTGATGAGCTAAACATTATGAGCTTGAAAATACTTGGGATGAGCTAGAAAATACATGTATATTCGGATGAGCTAGAAAATGTTAGGGATGAAGTAGAAAATACTGGGGATGAGCTAAAAATATTACGGATGAGCTAGAAAGTATTTGTGATGAGCTAGAAAATATTTGGGAGGATTATCGATCAGCTTGGAAAGATTAATAAAAAATATTGGAAATAAGTAATAAGACTAATAATGCTGTGGATGAGATACAAAAGTCTTTGAAATGTTGCTGATGAGCTAAAAGTTATTGGGGATGAGATAGAAAATACAGTTGAAATCCTGTTATAACGAGAGGGAGGGGACCGGAGCAAAATGTCCGTTATAGCAGGATTCTCGCTATAACTATAAGGGATCCAGTAATAAATTCAAGGGAAACTGTAAAGTAGGCCTAATCTATGAGTTTGGTGTTCTGTTTATTTCCTTTTGCTATCTCCCCTGATATGGATTTTGTTTCAACATGACCTC